TGGTAAATGGACTGATTCTTATATAGCGCTTTTCTACTCTCCCGGAGTACTCAAAGCGCTCTATACAACATGCCTCATTCACCCAATCACACCCATTCTCACAAGCACTTTATCTACACTTAGTGCTTTCTAACTACATTCACACACATTCATACTCCGATGGACGCATCGGAGAGCAAGTTGGGGTTCGTATCTTGCCCAAGGATACTTGACACGCAGACTGGAGGAGCCAGGGATCGAACCACCAACCTTCCGATCAGCAGGTGACCTGCTCTACCTCCTGAGCTACAGCCACCCCTATCGTCAGTTCATTTTTAAATGATACAATTGTAAATGTAAACATGTTATGTTCAGGTAGATCGTGTACATTTGGTCTAAAAATGTGGTTTTTTCCAACACATTTACTTCTTTGAAAGGTCTTCAACGAGAAATATCTCATGTGCCAAAAGGCTGTCATAGAAGATCTCTTTGCAGGCTGCACTGGCTTTCAGGGGACCACTGTAGAGCTCCCTCATCCTGTCCTGAGAGATAGGCAGAGCTCTAATTTTGTCATATTGTTCTTGCTCAATAACTTTCTTGTCTTGGAGCTCATCCAAAATGGGTGCGATGTTGCTCACTCTCTGGATCAGCTGGACTCTATGTTTGTCCACAAAGTCCTCTCCCCCTGCGGTTTTACTTCCACCAGCTGCTCCAGCTGACTCACTCGAGGCTGAGCTGCTCTCTGACAGCCTCAGCATCAGATCAGGTCTGTTCATGTCTGTTAAAACCTCCATGGTCACCTCCACAGCCTGATGACCAAGTTCATCCACCATCAGATTCACAAGTCTCTCTGTCCAGTTTGGATACCAGTACCTCTCCATTTGTGGCAGGCCCATGTTAAAGCACGTGAACGGCAGCAACAGAATAAATTTCCCGAGATCCTTTTGACTGAATTCATTCAGTGTTTCCAAGAGAATCTGTCTAACAGGTCTAACAGCTTCCCGTTCTTTTTCTCTCTTCAACAGTGCAGCTCCATGTTCATCCACAGAGTGTTTCTCTCTGGATGCTGAGCTGCTCTCTGGTAACTTCTGCACCAGATCAGTTCTGTTCATGCGCATGAAAACTTCTCTGGTCACCTCCACAGACTGATGACCAAGTTCATCCACCATCAGATTCACTACATCTGCTCTGGTTGATGATCAACTCAACCTCCATGAGAAATATGAACGATCCCTCCCAGGAATGATCATCTGCAGGAGCCTCTTAAATTTCTCGAGCTCCTCATCACTCAAATCATTCAAAGTTTCTAAAAGCAGATGTTTAACAGCTGCCATTGTTGCCACTTTGTGGATCAGTGCAGAGCGTCGTTCATCCACAGAGTGTTTCTTTCGAGGCAGTGAGCTGCAGTCTGACAGCCTCTGAGCCAGATCAGTCCTCTTCATCTCCTTTAAGACCTCCATGATCTTCTCCACTGACTGTTGGCCGTAAGTCTTCACCATCAGAAACACCACTTCCTGCAGGTCTGTCCACTCGTATGGCATCCATGAGAAGACTGAGTAATATTCGTAACAATGAATTTGTGGGAGGTTCAACTTGAACTCATGTAGCTCTCGATCATTGAGACCATCCAGAGTTTCCAGCAGCAGCTCAATAACAGACTCCATCGTTTCTACTTTGCGGATCAGTGCAGGCCAACGTTCATCCCCAGAGTGTTTCTCTTTCTCTGTTTCCTCCACATCAAATCCTTCAGCTGATGATCCTGCAGCTTTGAGTCCTGAGCTGCTCTCTGACAGCCTCTGCACCAGATCAGTTCTCTGCATGTCTGTTAAAACCTCCCTGATCACCTCCACAGACTGATGACCACATTTATCAAT